GGCAGCGTTGGATGTCATTCATGCAGAAGACGTCCCTAAGCGTTCGCGGCATGTGGAGATACGATTGGCATGGATGAGAGAACATCTCTTGAGAGGTCGGCTCAAGTTGCGTTGGCTGAGAGGCGAGGAGAATGCTGCTGATCTCTACACTAAAAATCTCGGAACTCGACTCTTCCAAGAACACAGAACGCGATTAGGCTTCATCACACAAGATGGACATGTGGAGGCGCTGTACATGTTGTCACAGCTGCGAGTTTCTCCAGAGAGCATGAAGGAATCTGATGAAGTGGCAGTGCTGGAGGTGTTTTGCAGTGAGGATTCGGCCCTGTGTCAGGTGTGTGAATCACTTGGGGTGCCGTATTGCGGGATCACAGCCAATGCCGAGACCTCAAGAGTGTTGGCAGAAACCATCAAGGTCATCACTGCTTGGAAGAGCAGAGGGCGTTGGATCCACGTTCACGTGTCCACGCCTTGCTCTTCAGGATCGCCACTGCGGAACTTTGTGCAAAGATGTACAAAATCTGATCTTGAGTGGGAGGCGTTGATGCGATCTGCAGAGAGGTATCTGAGGCTTGGAGATGGACGTACGTTCGAATTGCCAAAGCAAAACATGATTTGGAAGAGATGGGGAACACAGAATGTCCTTCGAGCCTCAGGTCTTGTGCATCCCGTAGATGTGTGGCTGTGCGCCACCGGCGTGTTGAGTCGAAGCGGTCTTCCAGTGGCAAAACGTCTCAGGTTCATGTGTTCACATCTCGAGTGCGCCCAGAAGCTTTTCGACATGTTTGGAAGTTGCAGTTGCCAGACACATGCCTCGTTCCATGACATTGACTACACAGCAACAGGGAGGTATAGCAAGGTGCTGGCAGAAGGGTTGGTCAAAGCCCTGAAAGCAACAAACTGAAAGGGGGATCCGATTTGGTTTCATCTTACGCCACACATGATCAAGTCATGTGAGGAGTATAGTCAGTGCGTTTTGCACAGTGCGTTTGCACAGCACTTGCGATTCTCTGTAACGCAAGTTTACTAGTTTTCCCTCGGGCGTCATGGTTGCACAGCCTTTGATGAGAGTGGCGATTTCAGTGGCCATTCTTGCGGTGATGAGCTCTGGAGTGGAGACTGCGAGGCCAGTAGAGCTTTGGGGAACCACCTTCATGGGCAGCGAGCTTGTACAGATGTTTGCTAGTCCGACTTGGGATCCAGTATGGATCATCATCATCGGGTGCTTTGTCAACGGCATCTTGGTTGGTACGCTGATCATGACATGCTGTTGTGCGTGGGCATTGTTTTTCCGGATGAGCTATGGGCAGCAAAGAGCTGCTACACAGAACCCGCCTCTGGATGATGACACGATGAAGCCACAAGGTGCCCAAACCAACTCTATGCCTGAGAGAAGTCAACAGATGAACCCTCGTGAGCCAGATGGTAAAAAGGAGGCATCGTCGTTGAGAGCGAGGCCGAAGGCAGCTGGTGCAAGGGAGAAGCATGCAAGTTCCAGCTGCAAGGATAGAGTGGACAAGCGCATCTTTGCTTCTGAATCTCAGGGCATTTTTCATCACGATCAGACGTGTCATCGCATGGAGGGATCATGGCGAACTATGTGGCAGTGTGGGAACTGTAAGCCAGAGCCGGGCAACACAGAACTGTGTGTGTTCCCGTCCGGGGACAAATATCACAGTGTGTACTGCAAGCATGTGGTGGCCGTTACCTCCAACCCGACATGCATCACTCCGTGTTCGACATGTGTGACAGGGAACAGACCTCTGAGATTGGAGTGATCATCTGAAGATGTCGTCATCTGAGAGTGAGGTGAGACAAAAAGATCATCCCGAAAGGGGGTGTGAAAATCTGTGTATAGACACGTCTGCGGGATGCCTTTTTGGCCAAGGCGCATGTTTGACGTGCTTACTGTATGTCCGGGACGTACAGGTCTTCCCTGAGCAGTCGAGCATGTTTTTCCTTGAAGTTTTGTTTTGTAGGAGAAGTGAGCTTGTGTAGGTGGCGTCAACTGGGTTTTTCCAGTTTTACGTTTGACTTTTGGCTCAAGGTCAAGAGAGCTGAGAAAGCACTAAGAAGGCAGGACAACTGCACGTCGCTTTGTGTGAGAAAGTGCTGTGCAAGTGCGAAGCTGTGTGTAAGTTGGGTTTGTGCTGTTTAGAAACTTTTACATTTCGTTGGGCAACCTTTCCCCGCCTCGCCGTCGAGGCCAAGCGCCCTGCATGTGCTGGTCACGCTCCTTCAGAGGCAGGCCGAGTTTCAGGCATCCTCGACTCTAGGGCCGATGCCTCAATCTCTTTCCGAGCCTGGGCTATGTGCGCATTTGAAATTTATTAAGGCCCGCACCCCCTTCTCGGTTTTTCTTTCTAAGACTTTGCACCTTTGCCGGTGTGGTGTGAGTGCCCCGGCTAATGTTCTCTTGCCGCTCCCTGCAGAGTCCGCATGCTTGCTGCAGGTCTGCAGAGTCTGCAGGTTGCTGCAGTGTTACATGCAGGGTCTGCAGAACGCAGAAAGCAGCGCAGCTCGAGCTTGAGAATTGCAAGGGCTTGGACCCTGAAGAGTCTGGAAAAGATGCTTGTCTCCGGTCAGAAGCCCTTGCGTGTGCTCCCGTGGCAATGTTGGACGCTGAAGGTCGATCTGACATGACCAACGTGTTGCAACATTGCCATGGGGGAAAGGGGATTTTCAGCAACATTTTATTGACTTGAAACAAGGTAGGCCCTTTGCCTGGGGGTTTGGAGAATGTGCCTCGAGTGAAGCCAAATCAGACCCCAAAAAGACACAAGAAGCGTAGGACACGTTTGAGTGCCCCCGCAGGAAGACCGGTGCCTAGGGAAAAAGCGTCTTACAGCAGTGGGAGAATGGGCTCCCCTTTTGGGCCTTCCTTAAAGCAATGGCGGGCTCTTGTACTCAAACAGTCAGACCTTTCCAAACAACTGTACCTCCCCATCAAAGCTTCAACCACGACAGGCGTGTCGTTGTGCGTCTTCGGCGCTGTCCCCCGCTTCGGAATCCTTGTGCGTTGCCTAAACTCATCCTCTGCTGGCAGTCAAGTCCGACTACATTCCAAGGGGCGCAAGAAGGAGTTTTGTGTGCAACTTTGCGAAGAGGGTCGGCGACCCTCATCCCAAGGGCCGGGTTGAGGAGGACTTCTGGTTTTTTTCTTTTGGGTCTGGGGTTGTTTGGGGTTTTGTGTTTGCTGGGTTTTGGGTCAATTAGCATTTAAGATGTATTTAGGGTTAGGGCAGGTTCTAAGTTTCGGGTTTGTTTGAGGTTCATGTGGGGTTGTTTCGGGTTTGGTTTGTTGAGCAGTTTGAGGGTTTAGAGTTTCGGGTTTGCTCAGGGTGCAGGGTTTGCTTTTGATTCGGGTTTTATTTAGTTTAAGGTTTAGGTTGAGGGTTTGTTTTGGGTTAGGGGTTTGTTCAGGGTTCAGGGTTTGTTCTGGGCTTGAGATGTGTTTGGGTTGAGGGTTTGTTGTTTGGGTTTAGTGTTTGAGGGCTCAAAGCTTATTTGGCGTTTGTTAGGGTTTGTTTAGGGTGTAGGGTTTTCCTTGGGGTGCAGGGTTTGTTCACAGTTTGAAAGTTTGTCTGGAGTTGAAATTTTGCTTCGGGTTTAGGGTTTCCGGGTTTGTGCAGGGTTTGGTTTGCGTTGGGTTTGCTTCGGGTTTGGGGCGTGCTTTAGGGTTTAGGGTTTGTTTAGGGTTTGGTTTTATTCGGGTTTAGGGCCTGTTTAGGATTTAGGGTCAGATTTTTAGGGTTTCTTTAGGGTTTAAGCTTTCTTTCGGGTTTAAAGTTGGTTGAGGGTTTGTGTAGGATTTCGGGTTTGTGCAAGGGTTAGGGTTCTTTAGGGTTTGTTTTGGACTGAGGGTTGTTGAGGGTTTATGGTTTGTTCAGGGTTTGAGGTGTCTCTTGGGTTTGACTTTGTTGTATTGTATCCATCTCCGATACAGGCCTGTCGGGGATAGACCTTTATCCGAGAAACGTGGGGCTCCCCGAGCCATAGGTCCCTTTTATAGGGGTCTATCGGATTGGGATAAGGGGGAGGTGCGAAAGGCCTATATCTTCATTGACCCCTATCCGATAGGGGTTTTATCCTACTTGATAGACGGGTACTTTGCGGACTCTTACTCAATCCCTGCCACGTTCAGGGGACGAGGGCGCTAGTGCCACTGCGCTGGGCGAAGACCGGGCTACCCGTGTTGCGTGGTTTCAACGTTCCCTTGATTCAGTTGGGACCCAGTACAACGTACATTGGATGGCAATTCACTTTCACAAGGGGTTCCTTCCGTATTCCAGAAGACAAGCTATGGAAGCTTTTGAATTCATTTTGCGAGCTGCTGGGGCACCGCATCGTATCCAAGTCAGTGCTGCGCCGTTTTATTGGCTTGGTCATGATGACGCAGTTCGCCATGCCCCCCTGGCTAGAGGTTTGTTCCAGACCTGAATCATGCAGGTGGAACAAATTTTTGCTGCCCCACAATTGGAACAGCGTCTCTGTGATTCACTGGTTTTTTGTGTCGCAACGTGTTACTGTGGGATGATGTCTGCTTTCCATCCGACGTAGAAATATTTTGCGTACGTCTGACCTGGAATCTGTACAGCTTGGTGGTGATCGTCTTCGGTGACGAGTCGCGGATGCACAGGAAAAGCGCCGCAAGCTTCGTGATGAGAACGTTTCATTAATTAAGATGATGAGTCGTCAGTGGGCGAAATCGTCCGACAATCCGTTTAGCCACTCACGCATGCCATGGTGACAAGTTTTCGCGTCGGTGGTTTCGTGTGTCTTTGTGCTCATCAACGTATTTGGTTCGGCGAGCAGTTTCGAGCTTTTCTTGGCCATACAGCGCTGCTGTTTATCACCATGAGATTTTTGGGTCAGGCTCGTGTTCGTATTCGCTTTCCTTTTCTGACGGACAACACTGGAGCCGAAAGTGTGTCAAACAAATTGTACACTTCTTTTGTGCCATTCAACGATATTTGTCGCAAATGTGTTTTGTTTCAGCTATGTCTTCCGCGGAGCTGGGCGCAAATCACGTCGCCGTGAAGAGAGCATGGAGGCTGGGCTGGCTCAGCCGCTGGAACGGTCAGGATGCACTTCCGTTTTCATTCTTGTGTGTGTGTGTGGTGAACGGGGCCCCGAGGCCTCCAAGTGGCCCTTCTTTTAACGAGGCCCCGATGCGACGCTCTGTAGCAGCGAATCTCCTGAAGCCATGGTTTCTCCTGATGCTTGGAATGACATTAACTACACTGTGTCTGGCGGTTCCGAAGAAGAGACGTCCTCGGCGCACACCATTAGCGGAGGAGGACGCACGAGAAACACAAGCGGACAGGCCACCGTGCTTGCAGCACCGTGACATGTCACCCGCTGGCATGCTTCCGGCCGATCCGGGCCTCCCTTCAGAATCCACGGATGGCTGGAGATATTCACAGCCCCCGAATATCTTAAGCACAGGCCTGACTCAAGGAACCATGCGGACACCGCACCTTGATGATGCACAAGCCTTTTGCACACGGAGCGATCGGCCACGAGAGGACAACCTGGCTGGTGAATCTCACCCAGAGCATTCTTTGCAGACGAAGGAGGCAACACACCCGAGCAATGGATCCAATGACAAAAAGCAGCCGAGCCACTCGGAAAGTCCGACACAGGATGGCAAGTGCAACTTTGAAGATGAGGATGTCGCCATGCAGAAGGCCATACCATCAGGACAATTTAGGGAAGAGAATGCCATGCCAGGGAGGGAATCTAAACATAGACAGAACAGGACCGCTGCATCAGACCCGCCTCCCCCATACATGTTGGCCACACATGATTTGCATGTTATCAACGCAGAGTGCAGGATCCGGACCATGATGGCAGTGAAGATAGGACAGCCGGCCAAACTGCCAAATACAGTCCCGAGCTTCTTTTTCATGCGCGGGCACAGGGTTGATGAATGGTGGTCTGCGAGGGGAAAAACTTGGACCTAACTAGGATCATGAGTGTTAGCCTCGACTTTGCTTATGGTTGTGATGCCAGGTGTGAAACACATGAACACGGATCATGGGATTTCAAGTTTTTCAATGGCAGAAGTTCGACAGCTAAACATGCTCAGTATGTCCAGCAGCTGTCTTACTCACATCAGTATATTGTCGAACAGCCAAACGCACGCATCCGTTCTTGTGAGGGCCAGCGCCTCAGATCGACTGCACTTGTGAGAATCATACCCACCCCCATAGGAACATGGTTAAACTACTTCCCCTCTTTAGGGTGGGCGGGCACCGCACCCCTATGTATGCCAGACACCCATTTTGCTCAACTAGGCACCGGATGGAGCCAACAAACGAGACCATCCCCTCTGAACGCTCCAGGTCCAGACCCCAGGACGGAGGGCAATAAGGAGTTTGTTGCAATTTACCCATCGCGAGTTGCTCAGGTCTGTGCAACACCCAGCATAACCACGCCGGGCGCTCACTTGAGATTGGCACATATATCATGGGATACTTGTTGCTTGCCGCGCACAGCCCCGGATCCCGCGGTCACCGCGCCCTCTACCCCCAGTAATGCCTTTCAGGTTTCTAGGCTTTCCCAAGGGCAGGTGACCGCACCAGTTGCTCCAAGCATCTGGTGTCTACGCTTCCACCTGCTCCCGGTGCCGACGAGCGCGGCCTCGTGGCAGTAGCAGCCTTCCATCCATCGTGTTTCCTTGCCCACTGCCTCTGTCAGGCCACGCAACCATTCAAGCATGAGTCCGTGCCACGGGCTCTGCAGAGCTTGGGACACCCACCTACCTCATGTACTTCACGACATAGTCGTATCTGAAGTGATTCCATGTTGTTTTGACAGGTCTGGGCTATGGCGCCTTTTGGGCGCAGAATCTTCGTTCTGGGACGAGAAGGCCGCCCTTCTTCAGTGTGCCTTGCTCCCTGCACCTTGCTCCGGGCTCCACGGAACATGGCACGAGCCGCATTCCAGTCTGTGCATGCAGCTGCAGGGCTCTGCCGCTCCCCGCCCCCCCAAGCAAAACTGTCATAAAGATAGAGACACCTCCACTGACCGAATTTTTATCTCATTTGGGAAAGTCTCTTTAACTAAAAGGGGTGAGGAAGCCACATCTGCTTGCAGAGGGAAGCCATGGCGGACAACAGCCGCGCGCGCCCTCTGGGCCCACCGGCACTCGATGAGCATGGAGATGTTGATACCGTATGGGAGTGCGTGCGTGAGATTATGGCGCATGAGGGAACAGGAGGCAACGCAGCCGCTCGGCCGACCGCCAAGCAGCAGGTGCAAGCCACGCCAGCAAGCCATGCAGCCAATCAAGCCACGCCGGGGGGACCATCGCCGCCTGTCATTGGACCACAGAGTTTTGGCAATGCATCTCGCCGCGCATGCGGGCCACCTCCGCCGACCCCGGCGAATGCAGGAGGCCCACCTCCGCCTGCTCCGGTGGCTGCGGCAGCAGGGACTACGATACGACCCAGGGGAGCTTTTGCACCAGCCGGGTTGGACCTCAGAATTCACGGTAGGTCGGTGCATGGTGTCCACATGTGCCCGATCACAAGGGACATTTCGTCCTCTACAAGGACTCCAACGGCGCAACATGGCTGTGCTTGGGGTGGAGATGGGGCCGCAAGCGCGCTACAGCAGACAGTGGAAGTGCGCCCTGATCTGACTCGGCCGCAAGCAGTGGCATGTGACGCGCAGAGCGAAGCACGGCTCCATGTGCAGAGCTGCGGACCTCTACTAAGGTGGACCCGCGGGAACCGATCTTTCTCCTTTTTAACTTTCTCCTTTCTCGACTGTCAGTCACAAAAGGCAGCTGTCGTGATGTTCTTGCATCACACCACTCAAAGATCCCGAGCCAAGTCGCATGCCGAGCTCCTGAGAGAAAAACAGGAACATAGTGCAAGTGGACCACCACTCACTATCATGATTTATTCTAAATTCTAAATGTGACGCAATTGAGCATTCTGCCAGGCACCCACCACTGCGATCGCACAGACGCATGGACGAGGCCAGGCCAGCATTCAAGCACCGCGGTTTTCACTCAACTTTACCTAACTCTCAGTTGAACGCAGCAGGAAGTTGCATGATGATCAAGTTAGTTGGCAATACAAGTTGGGACCAAGCGGACAATTGCGTGGGAGAGTTGCGTGGGAGAGTTCGGCTCAAAGAAGATGGGGGAGTCACCGGCTGCGAAGACACGCCAGGCATGTCGGCCACCAACCCGGTTTCGTATGCCGGAACGGACACCGGCAGGTGAGCTCACCTATCGGAGTGGAAGCCCGAGCGCTTCCCCTGGAACCATAAAAGCTGGTACCAGCCTCAGGCTCGAGGGAGAGTGGGCGGCAATGCGGCAATGGGCAGCACAGTGCGATGGTGCAGAAACTGCCCAAACCACCAAAGGCGATTCGTGGCGACCCGGCCCCTGAGAGGGCCACTTCTTCAACGGAGACCGTCTCCGTGCGCAGGATCCCGCCAAGGCCCCCGCCGGCACGTCGACAGCGAGGAGGCACCGCCGAAGATGCCACCATCAAGCCATGCGGCCTGACGTTGCAGGAGGACACGAGCACCTGCGCAAGAGCCCACCTTGGACGACATGGAGGACGAGAACACGGAAACCCAGGGTGTGGGGGACATGGCCACCAGCAAGAAGGTGAAGGATGAGGACATCGAACTGCAACCTGACTACGCAGAGAACCAGCTTCAGGCAATGCAAAATCGCTATGTCATCCCTGGAGTTCTCGAGGAGGGCGTTACTGAGGCGAAAGTCGCGGACGCTATGCAGATGCTCTGGGTGCCGGTGGTTGAGCAGAGACTGTGGAGAAGCACGACGCATTGTTTCCTCTGCAATACAAGGCAAGAGGGACTGGCAGCATGGAAGAACCACCTGCTCACGCAGACACACCGTAGACTCATAGTGGCTGCCACCCAGCTTTGGTTCCGGGCCTATGCTACCATGAGCGTGTGCGAGGACATACAGCCACCTGACGTTGTTTTGGACCTTCCACACACACCTCCCCTCCCACTTCAGGGAACACTAGCCCCTCCCCTAAGTTGCGACTCCTCAAATACATTCCTTCGAGCCCGTCTCCTCCCTGCCTAATCTTGTTGACTCCCCCTTTCCCTCCCTTGATCCGGGCCCCACTTTTCCCAGGCGGGCGCAGCTTGCAACAAGGGCCACTCGAGGGGAGACACAGCAGGCGCACCAAGACGGAGCCAATGTTCCAGCACCCAGCTGGACAAAGCGGGCAGCAGCCTTCCATTTTGCCCAGGCGGTGGAACGAATGCACTCCCGCGCCTGACGATCGACCAGAAGTGTTTGAAACCGCCATGCGAGCAAAAACCCAAAATCAAGTGCAGGAGTGGAATCGTCATGCCTACTCTCAGCATCGGTACTGCAGACCGCTCCGGCACCCCAAGCACACCTGGAACAGGTCCAACTGGCGAAATGCGAAGTTCTAGACCCAAAGCTGTCGCTCATCGCCGCTTCCTGCCGCCATGGAGGTCATACGACTTTGGCTCCAGCCAGGGGAAGCAGCTCGCTGCGGCCTCAGTAGTTGCGATGTTTAAAGCTCATAACTTGGTTGGTTGGTTCTGCGCGCGCGGGGGGACCACAAAGCATGCATTATCAAATCCGCCACGAAACGCGAGCGGACAGCGTTACATCACCAGTATGTCTGCCACACACACACACCTAGTACGAATTAGGAGCTTGCCCGGTCCCAAGTCCGGGTGGCGCACATCAACTACACCAATTGGAGGCCGCCTGGGCCTCGCAGAATGGTGCTTTCTCTGCACATGTGCGCTGGGGGTGAGGGTTGCAGTGATTGCCCTGTCACTGCTGAAGCCAAAGATATTCGCAAGTACGGCCTACGGAGGTCTGGCGAATACAAGGGCCTGGCTCTCAGGAAACACAAGCGACTACCAGACACGAAATTCGACGACTCCCAAACAACAAGGAGAAACCAAGCATCGAGAGGTCAAGCGTACAGGGAGCACCCGACGCTTATGGCAGACCTGGATCTGACGCCCGAAGAAACCATGCAGAGTGGGGGCACCCCCAACACCTTTTCCTGGATAAGGAAGCGGGCATTCCGCAGAGCTCGTGCCCGAGCTTTACTACATGGAGGCACATGGTATAAAGGGAAATGGCATACCCCTTCGACCTTGGGGGCTGAAGAGAACCCCGCTCCTAGGTCATCCGGTCAGTCTACGCATCACCCTCAACGAGCATCCCACCAGGGCCGTAGGCTCCATGTGCTTTCTCTCAATGTCGGCATGCTCTCGACAAGTGCATATGATGAATTCCTTACATGGGCGAATCACCCACCACACCCTTGGGATATCATATGCCTCCAGGAAACTGGGTGGACATTGGAGCAGCAGTTCCAGGCCGGCAACTGGCACATTGTCTGTTCGGGACATGCACGTGACCGTAATACCGGTGTTATGACGCTTATTTCCCGGACACTCCTTCCGGCAGACCGTATACGATACTCCGCCATTCATGAAGGTAGACTTCTATGGGTCAAACTTGAGTTCAAAAGTCATCGCGTGGACATTCTAAACGTCTATCAGCACGTATGGAATACCGCCACACCAGTGCCAAAACTTCTCCATCAACGTGATAAAATTTGGACGAAGCTGAATCAGACGATTTGTCATCTTGCCGTGCGTAACACACTGCTTATGATGGGAGATTTTAACACACCACTCATGACGGCGGAAAACAGAGTTGGCAAGGGAGTTATAACCAAAGCTACCCCCCCGCCAGACCATACTACCTTTGATGCGATCCTAGAGGCGCACGGACTTGTTGCCCTCAACACATGGGGCCCACCTGGATTGGCAGCCACATTCAAATCGGAAACTGCGGCCACTCAAATTGATTTTATTCTCACCAAACGCAGAGCAGCTGATCCTGAAGCAAGACGAACCAAAGCGGACAACACCATCAAACTCTTTGAATGGGGGAGGTGGTAGGCACCTTGGAATCCATGGCACCATTCCGTTTAGACTTTTTCAGAAGACTCCACCACCTGCCCCCAACTATGACAAACAGGCACTGCTACAAGCCGCTCAGCACCACACCGAAAAGTTTGTCCAGCTGGAGTCGGAGGTCACCTCGGCCCTGGCGATTGCCTCTGAGCATACACCCACGAGCCTCAACGCAATGCTACTTGAAAAGTGCTGCGAAATCTTCCCTCGAAAAGTCGGAGAGCAACCGCGTAAGCCCTGGCAAATGGAGGAATCTCAACAGACGGTGGCTGACATGTGGACGGCCAGACGCCTGGCGCGAGAGGCCGCCATACGTTACCTCTTAATAGAAAACGCAAGTGATCTTTTCCGGGCATGGCATCAGCAGTGCCGTTTTCAAAAATTGCACACCCATTTTCACAAAGAAGGGAAACAACGACGCCGGCAACTTTACCTCGAACAGATCGAAATTGCAGAACGTGCGGCCAAAGCAGGTAAACAGCGTGAACTTTACGAGGTGATTAGACGGCTGGCGCCACAACAGGAACGTAGAAAGGTCCAGCTCCGAGGCAACAACAACAACATCCTTACCTCGGCGCAAGAACCACGAAACCTTACTGACTTCTGCCAAGATCTCTTTCTCTCGAAGGCACCGGCGATCACGGTACCCCACCACCACGAACCTGTCAGTATCGACGCTAAGGAAATCCAACAAACCCTTAGTCTGCTTAAACCGATGAAAAGTGCTCCGAGGCAACTTGCGCCCACATCGGCCTGGAAATACCTTTCGCACCTCCTGGCGCCACACCTCGCCGAAATATTCCATCGCAGCATTTCAACGGGCACCCTTCCGGAGCTTTGGACACACGCGTGGATAACCTGGTTACCAAAGCCGGGGAAACCACCGAACAAACCCGAGAACCTAAGACCTATGGCACTTCAAGACTGTGGAGGTAAGAGCATAGCTAAAGCACTCCAGCAGAGGCTCTCACCTTGGATCAACGAGATGGTATGGCAGCAACCTCAGTTTGCCTATACTCCAGGACGACTCCTGGAAGTAGCCGTCTTGCGTGCGGTGCACCATTGTCAAATGGTTAAGGAAGTCCTTCGAGCCCAACAACGCAATGTCCGAGAGAAGAAAAAAGGCTTGGAAGCCACAACGAGTGCTGGGGGTGCCATTCTGGCACTTGACATGAGTCAGGCCTTTGACCGAGTGGACAGGCATCAGCTACGCACGTCCTTGGAGCAATCGAATTTGCCACAGGCCCTGGTGGGGCTGATCACTCAGTGGCATAACGGTATTGCTTATCACCTCAGGAGTGCAAACAAAACAAGCTGCGTTAGATGTGGAAGAGGACTCCGACAGGGATGTCCCATGTCTCCGACTCTCTGGAATGCCATTACCAGCCGAGTCATGACTCTCCTGGAACAGCGTCTCGGCCAGGAATGGGTGAGACAAAACTCCACCTTCTTCGCCGATGACATTTTAGGCAAATGGGTCTTTCATTCTGTTGCCGACCTCAAGTTCATGCTGCGAGCCATTGATGCGTTGTTCACTGTGCTTGAAGAATTTGGAATGAAAATCAACAGCCTGAAATCAGCATTAATTATTGACGTCCGTGGGCACTCTGGAAAGCAATGGCTGCGGGCACGCGCGAGATACCTTGAGGGGAAACCGCATTTTTACGCAAAAACGGAATCGGGCCGCTTGCTTTCCATACCGATTCACACTGAAACCAAATACCTTGGTACGATCATTTCTTTTGGCAACTTTGCTACTAAGGCGACGGTTCGCTACAGGATCCAACAAGCGGAGACCCAAAGGCGCCGACTTCAACGAATCTTACAGGGCAAACATACCCTGAACCTTTCGCAAAGGCTAAGGCTCTGGCGAACATGCGTTTGGACCTCCCTGCAACATGGCCTACACGCCGTCGGGTTGGGCCGTGACGAGCTCAAGTCCATTCGATCTTGCTGTGCTAGACACCTGCGCGCAATCGCCTCATGTCCTGTACACATCACACACGACTCTACGACGCTGCTCCAGCAGCGATTTGACAGCCCTGCTCCAGCAGCGATTTGACAGTCTCGACCAGGCAATGCGTTGCAGTCCTGACCCGATGATGAACACACCGCGCCTACTTACAACACTTGAAACACACATAGAGAACTTCCGAGACGCGGTACATTACTGGACGGGCAAAAACGAAAAACATGCACACACGGCGCCAGATGCCAACAGCACACTCCTCAAACCTAGGGAGGGGGGAATGTGGCGCCAGCCGGTCCTCACCTGCCATTTTTACATGTCCCACATGCCTACTGTCCTTTGCTCATTTGCTCACCTCGGAGCTTTGAAGATCCACCACAACGACGAACACGACAAACCCCTCCCCCCACCCTTTACCCGCTTTGATCGGCATGTTCACAGCTGTGAAGATGTACCCAAATGCAGGCACTGTAGGCGAGAATTCATGACGTGGCAGGCCTTACAAACTCATATCCAGACAAACTGCTGCGCCCTCATGTGGCTTGCGTGTCAGGATGGCACACTGTCAGGAACAGAGGTCACCTCTCCATTACCGCCCGAACCAAGCCTCTCGGCGACTTCAGCCCTGCAAACACACAGCCTCGAAATTCTCGACGAAAGACCCCTGGTTCAACAATCCCCACTACGTCACTTCATGCTTCGGTGTGGGTGGATGGCCATGATCTCATTCCCTGCTGCGTGTGAACGCCTCAAACATAACTGTGCATACTGTGAGCAATGGATAGGAGATGGCAAAATGAAGCTACATTACCAAAGGATACATTCCGATGTTTGGAACAGATCGGGAACCTTGGCAACTTTGGATGGAGGGGTGGCCAAAGCTGGAGCTGTTTCTCCTTGCTAAACTGCCGTGCACATATCGGCAAGTGCACAGTTATCTGGCAAATATGCGTGCTGCGAAGGGAATGGAAGGGAGATGATACGTTACCCATCAAGCCAGGCGATTCTTGACACAACGCACACACACACGCACACACACACCCTGCGACTGGGACACACGCAACGCAAGTGGCGTCGGGTACACCTACAGCATGTTGCAAGTGGGGAACCCCTTAAGCGAAACTTGAACCCCGCTATCTTCAACACGCTCCCCCCCTCATCTGAACCCCCCAAGTGGTGGCATGTCCTCCGAGACCCAAAGTGGTGCCTCAGGCAGGCGAGTCAATGCACCATATGTATGGCCCCCGCCTCAGATGCTCGAGCATACATGCTTCACTGCCTGTCACACCACCCATGTTTCTGGTCTTATCGCAAAGAGCTCATGCACGACGAGACCTTTCTTGCGCAAGCAGCTGCAATCTGCCCCTGGTGCCAAGCCAACTCCACCAGGACCCATCTTCATGCGGTGCATCCCGGCATAGCTATGCTCCAGTTTTACAATGACAATCCTGATCAGGACCATGGACTCTCTGGACGAACTGAAGAACATGTACGGAGAAATGCTTCCGTCGTTGAGCACTGCCTCCAACACGCCCATGGGCTCGGAGACTGGCCCTCCCAACAAGAGACCGGCGGTGGCATCAACGCGACAAGCCAATGCCAGCAAGAAGCAAGGCGGCCAGAAAGGATCGAAGGGTCGAGGCAAGGGCAGAGACAGGCCACAGCAACAAGGGGACCGTTGGAGCTTCGAGGACACCTCGGCCCAGGACCCCGCGGCAAAAGCCATGCTCAAACTGATGCTGAGGCACGAGCAGCAACTCATGCGGCTCAACCAAGACACAACTCTACTTTTTACGTTCCAAAACAAGCCGGGCGAGAAGGAGAACATCCTTCCGGTGCTATCTCAGGTGAGCCAGGCATGGAAGGAGAAAATGGAGTCCAGCGAGAAGCCTACGATGTCACTTCGAGTGACTGTACTTCAATCTATATGCGCGGAGTTGCTGGATCGCAGCAAGAAGGTCATGGAGCAGGACAAGTTCAAGGAAGTGGTCATGAAGCAGGGTTGGATATCCGCCGAGGGCAACTGGAACTTCCTGAAGTGGAACTCGACTACGGAATCCCTGGAGGTCGTGACGGGACATGGGATCCTACAAGCGGAGCTCGAGCAGCTTGTTCAGACCATCAGCAAGAGCTGCGTGCATCAGGGCGCTCTCTATCGGATGCAAGCAACGAGACGATTGGCAGCCGAGCTGACTGGGCATCAGCTCACGTTCGTGGCAGAAGTCGGTCTGCGACAACCGGGAGCTCACAGCTTACACCAAGCCCTGCTACGCTTGCAAGGGGTGGCGGCGCTGCAGCTTCTAGGACTCCGAATCCACCAGCCGCGCATGCAGATATTCCCCTTGGCGGAATCACTTGGCCAATGCCTCCGATGAAAGTCCGTAGCCTGGCCCTTAATAACCCACACAACGTTTGCTACATGAACTCTACCATCTTAGCGTGGTTGTGGGTTGCTGCACACACTCCAGGCACTCCCCAACACGTTTTTGGACAAGCCGCAACCGCTTTCGCGCGGATCTTACAAGCCAATTTCGCTAATCCGTACGTAGCAGGAATGTTGGCATGGAGACCCATCCCTACAGACCTGGACTGATGTGCGATCACAACATGACGCTCACGAATTTTTCTGCCATGTACAGGCTCATGCAGATGCCCCAGTCTTCGATGGAGTTTGGGAGGCCCGTCGGTATCACATCCCCACAAATTCTCATGACACCATGGATTCAGGTACCTTGCAGGCGGGTATCACTATCCCAATCCCCCCCCAAACCAGCTCGCTAAACACATGTCTTCGAGACTGGGCAATGCAAAGTCACACTCGTGCGCTTATCCTGCTGCCGCAATGGGTTTGTGTGCACCTACCTAGATACCTCAGAACCCGAACGGGTACTCGTAAGAATCGAGTATGCATACAGATCACTGCCGGGGAAATTGTACGCATCCCTACCTTTAGCCGTAGAGGCTCTGCGCTTCAGTGGATTCCATATCGCATCATGGCAGGCATCATTCATTTGGGGGCCAGCGCTCTGAGTGGCCATTATAGGTTTTCTTTGTCATTTCGACGATACCTGGCGTTTCTTGGCCACGGACGACAAACAATCCGCAGAGCTTTGTGATGATAATTTCATGCATCACATTCAACATGACTACTACCTCTGTTTTCTTCAGCGAGTGAGAGAACCAACTGGCACTACGTCAGGTCAAACCGATTGAGGTCACCTCATCGGTAAGGTGCACTGAGCCGGACTGAGTGACCGCGTTGTACAAATTTCCTTCTTTATTTCTCCTCACGTCGATGCCACTCTGTACAGCTAGGGTGTTAAGTGTACAGCATGTATCCAGGTACAGTGAATGGGTGCAGTAGGAAAGACACCAAATGCCCTAAGGCATGTTGAGTCTGAGCAGAACGAGTTTGACACCGGAGGCTTAGGCTCAAGAGTCGAAAGCGAGAAAAGTTGTTTTGCCTTTAGAGCGTGGTAGGAAAAGTGAGCCATGATGTTTACCACGTTTTTCAACATGGTAGCGGAGCACCTGAGTCAGGGTGCGATGATGCTACAGCAAGCTGGATGGACGAAGGTTTTTCCATGGAGCATGATGGTTTTCATGTCTGTGCGAGAAGTGTGTGCCAGCAACCTCCAGAACCTTCAGCATATGGCAGAGCAGACAGTTGCAGCAAGCAGTGGTGCCCTGGACGCTTTGAGTTCAGGAAGATGGCAGCAGGAATTGTTCCTGTTTGCAGTGCTGGTTTTCATGAGCAGCATTTTAGCAGGAATGGCGTGGTCGTTCTTGCGAGAGATTGCAACTGAAGAGAGAGATCGAGACTGTCGCCCATGAAGAGTTCATGCCTGATGTTTACATTGCAAAGTCAAGAACAGCAGTGCACAAGCATCGAGAATGCCGTGGCCTGGACAGTGCGGATCAGGCGCAAGTCGTACGTGCACCTGGATGTAGAGTTTGCTTTCCAGATGGCTATGTTTACATTCAAGGGCAGACAGAAGTAAAGAGAAGGAGGTTTACCCAGATGACTGGATGTGGTTTCTGGATGAGAGTCCTTTGCAGTGCAGTTCTTCTACTTTGTGCAGGGCTCGTTACAGCAGAAGGTTGGTTGTTGATGATCAAGAATGTGAAAGCAAAGGCAGCAAGAAGCAGTACAGAGATATTGCTAGATGAAGCAGAGCTCGTTATGTCAAAGCCGCTGCCCAGGAATTCGATTTCCCTCCAGGATGACCTGAAGACTATTGCCTTGGAGGATGAGCATGCCGAGGTGCAGCATGCGACTCATGCACTTGGTGGAAGCAGCAAGAATGTGCATGTGAAAAGAGAGAGAGAAGAGACAGAACATGTGGAGCTCATGTCCTTCAGTTTGCAGCGTCGTCAAACCAAAGAAGCCCCAATACGCTATGAAGATCAAGACAACGAAGAAAACTACAACCTCGAGATTGTGAAGTACATGATCGCAGGATTTGAAGCATCAAGAAACTTCGACATCACGAATTTGAAGATTGAGGTGAAAAGATGGTATGAAGAAGGTACAAGAAGATTCCTTCGAAGCCTTGAGTCGAGCTACGCCCCTGAGATCTCAGTCATGTTTCACAAGCAGAAGGAAATCATTTTCGTGTTGATGATCGTGATGTGCACCCCGATTGGTTTGGTTACTTGGATCAGCCTGTACAACATGTGTGCCATCCAAAGCAAAAGAAAAGAGTGTTTGAAGAGAAGAGTTTCGAGGAGAGCCAGGTATCAAGAAGTTCGTGCATGTGGTGTTCAGAAGAAGACGCTCATGTTCATTGTGTTGCTGTATACAAACACGCAAGCAGCTGAAGCCATGAATGCTCAGATGGAGCAAGCAATGCAATCTTTGGCCCAGCAGACAGCAACGAACACCCAACAGATAAACGACCTGGTTAGCGCAGTTCAGCAGCAAGCATCCCAGCAGCAGCAAGCAAGCACAGCAGCTCAAAGTGCAGCAGCAGCCAGTGAAGGCGAGATGAGAGAAATGTTTCGCAACATGCTACAAGTGGCTACAAGAACGAGCACAGCGGTCCACGAGGCAGCAAGCATGATCAACAATATGGGTCAAATGCATCGAGATTTTCGTGAGCATCAAGAAGCACGAGAACAAGCACAAGCAGAAAGAGAAAAGAGAAGAGAGAAGGGAGATGTCGAGTTGCACAAGATGATCAAGACCCCCGACGTGTTCAACCCAAGCAGTTTCAAAGAAGAGCATGAAGGCTGGAGTGAATTCAGACACAAGATGCGAACCTGGATTGGAGCGTTGGACCCAGAGATGTTAGCAAGAATTGAAGCCGTTGAAGCAAAGAGAAGTGAAGCTGTTGAGTTTTCCACCTTGAGTGACGAGCACAAAGCCGTTAGCAAGAAGCTCTACACGATCCTCACTTCGTACACGAAAGGTCGCCCATTGAGAACGATCAAGCAGATTACAGAGGAGAATGGTTTAGAAGCATGGAGAATTTTGCTCGAAGAACATGAACCCTACACTCGTGGTAGAAGTCTTCGTTTGCTGACTACCCTCACGAAGTACAAGTTTGAAAACAAGAAGACCACCATGGAGAACATCCTTGCATTCGAAGAAGCAATCGAGCAGTATGAAAAGGCATCAGGAGATGTGGTGCAAGATGATTTGAAGATTTCAATTATCCTCAATCAGCAAGATGGTCAACTTCGACAACACATGTTGCTCAATTTGAGAGATGATACAAAGTATTCAAGTCTTCGTCAGTTTCTCCTGTCCTATGAGCAAAACACGCGCTGGACCACAACTGACTTGATCAACGCCGGCAACGACCACGGTGGACAAGCAGACATGGATGTCAGCAACGTGAACAAAGATGATAGAAAAAGGCCCTGGAGATCCAAAGGAAAAGGAAAAGGAAAGTTCAGCAAAGGCAAAGGAAAGGGCAAAGGAAAATGGAGGAAAGGAAAGTCCAAAGGAAAAGGCAAGTATGGCAACGACTACGGCTACAACTCCAAAGGACGAGGAAGAGGAAAAGGTCGTGGTCGAGGTCGCGGTCGTTTTGGTCGTGGAAAAGGATTTGGTCGTGGATTTGGAAAAGGACGCGGAAAAGCAAGCTTTGGTCCTCAGTGTTGTCATTACTGTGGAAAGCCTGGTCACTTTGAAGCCCAATGCAGACAGAAGCAGAGAGATTTTGGTGATGTTCGAAACGTGAACGACGACCAGCAAAGTACCACAGCAGCCAGTTCTACTGCAGCACCAAGCACGTCAAGCACCACGAACGTGACGAGCGTCAGCAGGAACCAAGCAAAGACCGTGCGTCAAATCTCCATGATCCACATTGGAGATCCTCCACAACAGTATCCAGAAGTTTTCGAAGTCGACACGGAGGCAGAAGAAGAACTTGAGATTGACTATTTTGGTCGTGTGCTACGTGTTGAAGAATTTCAGCTTAGCGATGCAGAGCAAGAAGAAGAAGAACACGAGCACCAAGAAGAAGATGATCCTTTGATGTTGTGGTGGAAAGATGGTTGTGAGCACGAAGAAGATTGCAATCTTTGTGTCCGTGCAGTCCAAGAATCATTTTATGAGAGCAGTCCTGTCTATGAGAAGATAGAAGTGATCTTGGACAGTGGCGCTGATGTCAGCCTCATTCCTCTGTGGCTTGGCAAAGAGGGAGTGCCTGTGAAGAAGAAGAACGATTCAGGCATCAGAGACGCACAAGGAAGAAAGATTCCTGTAAAAGGAAAGAGAGCAATCAACTTGACTATGTTCAGCTCGAAGCAAGAAGCAGTCAAGATGCAAGAATGCTTCATCGTTGCGAATGTGGTCAATCCTTTGTTGGCAGTCGGAAAGCTACTCAAGAATGGCTGGGAGATTGTCAAGAAGGATGATGGCTTGATGTTGTCAGACGGAATGTCAGACATCCCTGTTCACTACCACAAGAACTCGCTGGCTACTTATGCTTATTTGCAAGCAGGAAAGAGGTATGAGAGCGAAGCCTATGTGAACCTGGAGCAGGAACACGTTCGCACCGTCATTCAGCTGAACTCCCACATAGCTGATGCAGCAAGAAAGCAAGAACCTGGCTGGCATGATACAGACAGCATTGTGGTTGTGCACTACTCCCCGGCGCAGTCGAAGTACAAAGATCCCACGGACATGTACCGTACGGAGGATTTTCCGTACAGAAGCACGATGATCAAGACAGAAGATGGTACATGGAAAGCCGTTGAAGTGTGCAAGAAGTATGCGCAGAAGATGGACCCGTTTGAGGATATCAGCGCAGGCGGTGAATTTGAAGTGGTGACAGCATTGTCGTCACGAGTTATCCCGCTGAATGTCTTGGGTATCCCCTTGAAGAAAGATGAACGCCAAGAACAAGAAGCAAGAACCAGCGAC